AAACAAGAAGAGGTTTACTGTTTTTAATAAACTAGATTATATGTTTAAAACATTGTAGTACAAAACTCAATAATCAAAACCCAAATTTCAAGAGCTATACGACCTATGAGAAGAAAAATGCCTCAACTGCATTGAATTGCTCGTTTCAACTAGACAAAAATTCTTACACCCTAACTATACTCGATACGACGTAACGCTAAACGAAAATTTCAATTTTTTTTCGAGAAACAGGCTAATGTTATAGGGTCCAAGCGCATATATGCAACGAAACTGACGAGAAATCCGACGGCGTCTGATCTGGCGTAATAATCCCCAGCCTCCTGCGTCTTCCCACTCGGTGGCAGCACCGTCGTCTCGTAGTTTCCTTGAATTTCGCGCTGCAACCCTCTGGTATCCGGGTGGATGCAGCTGCAACCGGTCGACAGAGCGGCGCGATAAAAGGACAACAAAACGCCACGGGGCGTCGCGATTAACTGAAACAACCGGCCCGACAATGGAGTAATCAGCGAGCTTTTCGACGCACCCATTCCCGCCCCCGCGTCCCCCCTTTCGCGCCCCCCCCTGTGCCTCTTACCATTCGGCATCGCGGGCCGCCGTTGTTGTCGCTTCAGCAATCGCAACGATGATTCCTCGCGCTCTTTGTTTTCGTCGCTGTGCAGACTGACGACGTGTCGCGCACCAAGGGCTGGTTTCACCCGACAAATAAACGTAACACCGATTCTCGAGGACTATGTGTGTTTCGGGGTGAAGTTCAGCCGATTCGAAAACGATTCTACGATCGAAGGATCAATGACCACGTCTCGAAGCTTCGAATAGCCAAAAACTGTTCGACACAGAAATGAGGGGGTTGAAATATTCCGTCTGAATCTGGTAAAGGATTATTTAGTTTCTTAAGAATCCCCAGTTTTGGGGGGGGGTCCCATGGACGAAATCAGGAAACAAATACAAACACTGGTAATTGATCGAACAAGAAGGACTCGCGGGAAAGAGGGAGTCGCGAAATTAAGGAGCCGTCGGCGACGGGCCGCCGGAAAGCTGGATTGTTTCATTGATGAGGGAGCATTCAAGGCCGTAGTAGGCAGCGAGACCAAAGTGGGCAACACTGGATGACGAAGGAAGGGCGAACAGAGGGGGGGCGGTGGGGTACAGCGGTGCTACGACGTTTACGAGTCCGCTTGCAACCCTCTTTTGGACCACGCCGCGCGATGAATGGTATAATCAGCGGTCGCGTGGCACCCCACCGCCCCCAAGTGCGACGAAGACGATAACGGAAGGCGGACCGAACGGAAAGAGAACGACGACTGATAGAGAAATTCCCTCCCTCGGGTCTCCCCGTGACTTCGGTATCATCGAGATCGAGAGAGACGAGAGCGTGGAAAAGTCACTTAACGTACCTTACCCCCTCTTACCGACTCTTTCTTTACTTCTTTTCCATTCCAACGGGGGTGGTTTCTCCTTTTTTTCTTTGGCAAAGTACCGCTTAACCGATCGTTCGACGGATTCTTTATTATAATTAGAGACGGTCAGGTTTGGTTAAAGAGAGATCGTTTTCAAAATGTCTCGAATTCTAGACGAAGACTCTGTGTCAATATCTGCATTGTTGGAGACATTCTGTTTTACTAAAACAGAGTACAAATAACACTATCGTGCGTAATTCTACGGTATTTAGAAGAGAACATTAACGTGACAGGGTGTCGTATGAAGTATAATTAAAATACACAACACACAATGCAATCACTTCGTATTTTCTAAATCGTGACACGGTTAAAGGGAAAAGTTAACCGTCCTCTTCGATTTCAGAAAAAACTTTAACGGAAGCGAATCAATGGGTGAATAAAATAGGGGGACACGAGGGTTCGGGTACGCGGGGGATTATCGAAGGCAATCAGCTATTTGTTCTGTTATTAACTCGATCATAAATTCGCCGCGCGACACTGCGCGACCACGTTCGACTGTCGTTCTGTCAGCGTTCCTTTATCACCCCCTCGTTACACATTCCCCGTCGCTTGTAGGGCGTGAACGCGATTTTTATCGGTCATCGACGAGAAGAAAAGGCACGATGGAGGGCAGCCGGCTCTTTTCACGCTCTCCCCGGTGTTGCACGAAACCCTTATCTGTATACTGACACTTTCAATTAGTCACTATCGCCTGCAAACATCGCGCCTTCTTTCGCGAATTTCACACCATCGAATTCTAACAACTTCTACAACGTTTCGTGTTGATCAGAAACGAAACACTCGAAACAGGTAAATGATAATTTGCACGAATATGGATTGCAATATGAATTCACCCCCCATTAGCTTCGAAGTAGGTCTAAGTTTTAGTTTTCTTAGGGTGGTCGAATATTTCGAAGCTTTTCGGTAGATTTAATGGCAGTACAGTCGTTTCTTTATGGAAGTTGGAATTCGCTGAGACGTTGCCACTAACACACAGCCCTCTTGTCTCGTTTTATACCTCCTCTCTTTATCGTCTTATCACTGGAGACGTCTTCAGCCCCAGCCATGGCCCTGCGATCCCCCTCGCTTCTTCCAGCCAAGACATTGCTAACGCTGATAACATTTATTTCAAGAGATGGCCCTGCTTGTACATCGCGCGAACAAAGCTGGAAGAAATTCCTGTGTGCCGCGGTGCGGCCACAATCAGAACGCGACGATATGCTAACGAACGCGACGACCATGATGGAATAAAACTCTTTGTCACGTAGCTAATGACATCTAACGCGGTGTCGAGATCAATATTAATTATATACGATACAATTTTTGGTCTTGGAATGTTTCATACGATACGAATTACATTTTTCATGAAGCAAGAATGAAAAAAATGAAAGATTGATAATTGGAAATTAAAATTCAATCAAATGCAAATTAATTTGTATGGACGTTAAATGCGATCATGTGTTGATCTATTATAATATAGCATGATATATACAACTGTGATATGTCCATTAAAAAATTGTGGAGATTCGTGAGACGAAACTCAGCGACGAATATTTTTAAAATGGTGGAGGTGACGCTCGACTCGATAAGAAGCAGCGAAGAAGCAGACATTTATCATGATACACTTTTCCTGTAATCATATGTATACTATAATATTTGTCGACGGTAAATATTTTCCCACAAATAACTCTAGAATAGCTCAATTTTTAATATTCTGTTCCCACATTAGCGATCATGCTTCTCCACTCTTCTAACCGTTATTTTCAATCACTCTCTAAATTACAACTATACTTAAACAACTTGTTAAACAATCTATATGGTATATATATAAACTAGAGAAATTTTATTGAAACTATTCTAAAGGAGAAGTAGAGAACAGGTGGTGCAGCGGAGAGTGATTCCACAAAACTAAACAGAAAAGAAATAATAACAATGTTTCTCGAGAAAATCAACTTTAAAGAATCACCGAGTGTACAATGGAGTACGACTTGGATTTCACCAGGAATAGAAAAAGTGATTGATGATCAGACGCGCCAGCCAAATGGTACTCAATCGCGCGCGTATCCACCTAATTTTCGAATTCAATTGTATCGAAAGCAATGCCTCGAACGAAAAAATGTGATTCGTTCTTTTCGACTCATTTTTGCACGTAGAATCACCATCTGCTCTGCACCATCTTGCACCACACGTTATACCATAACAAACATAAACATTACTGATCTGCTCCAATACACTGTATCTCTTACTGGTTGGAATTTCGTATTTTTATTTTTTATTAAGCGTTAAACAATTTTTAGCACCTCAAATCTGGGGCACCCTATACAAAAAAATCAATTCTGTAATTCTAAATGTTGCAAAATAAATTTGCATACATCCCCCAAAAAATTTTGGTTAACCTTGGCTCGCAATGACATGTCTGACTGGTCACAAATTCCACGATCACTCGTCATCGTATATTAAAAAAAAACACATTTTTTATTCGAGAGGTATTCGTAAAACGAGTTCTTTTTCATGGCCATTCCTCGTACAAATTCAAATAGAATTAAATAATACTCGAAAAATCATTTGGAATTGGGAGCCCCTTGCTCCAGGGCCTCATCGATCAGAGGATTGGATCGCGTCTGAACTATGACGGACCTACTCCACTTAACTTTGCCGAATCAATCCTGGGAGCATTGTCTCGTGGACTCATCAGTGTCCCGGATACAGCCTGACCATCGGCGGCCAGAAAGGTCAGAAGGAAAAAAAACGGTAGTACGATAATCTGCGTAACAGACACACTCGTGGCCGGACCGGGTGCCAGGGACGCCCGTGGTCGAGAAGAGACGAGAAACGCGTTAAACGGAGACGAGGCACCTCCACCTGTTGAACGCGCCTATATTCCACGTCCGCCATGTCGGCGAAGGAGCCAATCGTGGGTGTCCATTAGCCACGGACCATGGTGGGAGAGGAGGAACATTTCTGGTTGGCCGATCCTTGTTTCCATCGCGTCCCACGGGGATCCAGCAACTCCGCGAGTCCCTCGATTCCTCCCTGGCTCGTCCCAGACTCGACGTCGGAGAGGTCCTGGCCCGATCCTTGCCAGTCCTTTCGTCACGGTGTCGATCAAACAGCTAGTCCGGGGCTCGGTGTTCGTTCACGATAAACGCCAACGCGCGAGTCCAAGTACCTGACAGTCCGATTTTTGGGGGCGAGACGCGAATCTGTGAAGGGGTTCCGTGAGTGGTCAACACTAGCCAGGACAATGGAATGTGTGGGTCGCGCGAGAGTTTCGAGGTCGTGAGGAAGGTGATCGCTGAAAGTTAGGTCCGAGGGATCGAACTGGTGGCTAAAGATCGAAAGGGAGGATCGTGAGGTGGTGGAGCACGTGATTGGACTAGAAGGGTGCTGTGTTTCGTTGTTTACCACCGGTCCGGGATTCGACGGCTAACGAGTATGAGAACAGTGATAGTTTTCTGTCAATGGAACCGCGCGAAGCGACTATTCTGTCAGGAGAGAGCGATTAAATAGAGATTCGTGGCTGAGGACTGGTTAAAAGAGGATCAAGGGACAGGCTAGTTAGAGATGTCGTCGAAAACGCTTCACAACGAGCACATCAAACGGCCGATGAACGCGTTCATGGTGTGGTCACGCGGACAGCGACGGAAAATGGCACAGGAGAACCCCAAGATGCACAACTCCGAGATCTCGAAGAGGCTCGGGGCTGAATGGAAGTTGCTCAGCGAGAGCGAAAAGCGACCTTTCATCGACGAGGCCAAACGACTCAGGTGAGATTTCAAACTTTCGATCTTAGAAGTGACTTCGCGGCTTAGAAGTGAAGCTACGAGGATCTCAAAGATATCTAAGCATCTTAAACACTTGATAGATCAATTTTTTCATTTTTAATACGTCTGTAAGTTAATTAAATCGATGCTCGATCTAAACGATAAGTGTATCCGCGGATCTCACAAAATTTCCTCAGTGAACTTTGCAGTGATCCTTTTTCTTTACCTTCCCATTTCTTGTGAAGTTATTATTAATCTTGAATTTTTATTTAGTTACCAATACCTTGCTAGATCAAATTGAAACGTTGACAAATTGCTATCTCTGCTTAAATTCACAATTAACGAAGGATTAAAGGAAAGTAAAATATGGACGGTTTTGTTGCTGTATCAAAATATGAAGAATAAACTGAATATTAAAATTTTTTTAAACAACGTTATCTGAAGTTTCATTCGTTTGACAAAGATGGAAACAGCTTGATCGCGGCGTATCGCTTTGAATCGATGTCGAGGATTTTTCGTTTGCTAATTGCTCTTTAGTCGCGACCGCTCGAACGAAATTATCGCATCGAGGCGTATCTGCGATAACCGAGGGGGGGCAGGGGGATCGAAAACGAGAACAGGGAGCCCCGTAGTTCATAATACGGTACATTGTTGCTAAAGCTAAGGGCGTGCTGCGCTAAGCTAAGGGGTGGAATAGGGTGAACGAAGTGGTATTTATGGAGGTGGAGGGGACAAGCCCTTTATTACCCAACCCTGAATATTTAATCATTGTTATGAGTTTATTTAGCCCCGACGAGCGATATACAGGTCGAAGAGATTTCACGATCGAGCGACATTTTTATCGTCCCTTTAATTATCTCGACTATCGAGCGGAATTAATTCGGAGAGAATCGTTGGAGCGAAAATTGAAAATCTAATATTAAGTTTGAGACGACCATTAATAGCATTTCTCGAAATCACTTTTAAAAATGGTGGAAAGAGACGGTTGGGTTGCAGCGGCGGATCGAAAACGAATAAAGCGAAACCAAACGCGGTGGAATAAGAATTAATTTGAAAGTACGACGCGCGAGTACGACGACAGAGTCCGGGGCTTTATATCAACGGTTTTTCCAAAGCAAAAATTGCCGGGTATAGGCAATTGATAGGGACCGGACCAGGGGTTGAATATAAACCCTCGCGGAATCACCCGCCGCGACGATGGAGCCTCGTAAAATAAATAATGGAATAATAAAGTCGTTTCTTCCAAAGCGCGTCATCGTCGATTCGTTTTCAATTGCCAAGTGTTCGTTTTACTCGGCGGATCCCGGTTTTCGAAAAAATAAATAGGGACGGGCTTGCCGGTTAAATGGGCGCAATGTAACGTCGAATCCGCTTTTCTGTCGATGACCGTGATCGAAACTACAAAAAAAAAAAAATAGAGAGAGAGAGAGAGGAGGATATTCAGCATTGACACCTGGCCGGTGCCCAGTCAACGTTCATTTTTCTGATCCATAACATTTTGCATCGAAATTCTCGCACGGTTTCATATGTTGCTTTTTTCGATTGTTGCACGGAAAATATTGTTATGTCCGAACGAGATCGTCGGGGCACGGAGCATCGCATTGTACGCTTTTAAATCGTACACTATCGTCAAAAAAAAATTCTTCTTTGAAGGTTTTGTTTCGATGTTTAGCGCATTTTCCTCTAAAGTAGTTATTTTAGATGTACTCACAAGTAATTAAAAATGGAAGTTATTAAGCTCTTTTTGGGGGTAAAGCTTGTTCCATTCGTTAAGGTATGGCTAATGAAATCATCGATAAGGACATCTGAGTGTATTCAGAATTTTCAACAAAAAGAAGCTAAAAGAGATGCATCAAAACGCGAGACAAAAATATCAGAAAAATACCGAAATTCAGAAAAGAGCTTGCAAAGAAAAACTACCCCCAAGAAATCAATTAACTGTCTCAAAGTTTCTGTGTACGTTTCGTCCAGGGAAACGTATCTCAGTGACTGTGTCGGTGATCGTTGCAGCGACTGAGGGCGGAGAGAGGGGGAGGGGAAAGGGGTGTTAAAATTTCGGGGCAGAAGCGTGTAACGGGGGAATCCGCTTTTCTGGCGGATGGCAGCGTGGATGACGACTTTGGTAACGGCTCCGCTTGGCAGCCAAGGGGGTTGGAGAGGGCAGCGGCGGACGGTCGTAAAATAAAGAGGAGAGGGGCCCGATAAAAGTGGTTCCCCCGGAGCCACGTTCCTGGGAGGAACGGGTTCCCCTGGAGCCGAGCCGTCACTGGCCCGACGTAATCTGTCCGTTCGTTCACGGCGACTCACAATGTGGCCCCCGAGATAACAAATAAAGCCCCATTGTCGCAATTGTGTGGATTTAAAAGGATTTGCGCGGCTCCTCTGCCGGCCCCTGCCCCCCTCCCACCCGCCCCCCCCGGATCTCTCACCCTCACGGCTGCTCGTTGGCTGTGCCGCTGCCACTGCTGCTGCCTGTCCGACGATTCCCTCCTCCGACCCTCTTTTCCACGGCTCCTCCGCGCCGTTTGTCTACCGTTCTCGTTTTCGTGGAAAGGGGGGTCGAAGGAAAACCGGCGAGAATTAATACGGTGTTGCGGAAATACCGACCGCTTTGTCATTCGGGAATCTAAAGTCATCTTGGACACTTCCGGCGAGATGCAAGATGCAGATGAGCGTTGAAAGGTGAGGGATAACTCGCGAAAGAAGCAACCTCGGAGATCTATCCTTTGATCCTCGGATTGAGCTCTGCTGGCGGAAGTTATTGAGGGGGGTAGTCATTGAGATGTGGATGGGGGGTGAAGGTGGCTCGCGAAAGAAGGAATCTTGGTTTTTGGTTCATGTTAACCCCTTGGTATACAATAAGGAGTGAGCTAGGTAGCTAACTTGCATTGAGTGTGCTAGGTAGCTAGCTAGCATTGAGTGTGCTAGGTGGCTAGATAGCAAGGAGTGAGCTAGGTAGCTAGCTAGCAAGGAGTGAGCTAGGTAGCTAGCCTGACTTGTCACAAGTTTCACAGTCATGAGGCTACTCGAGTCTTGCATTTTAAAATCAACACATTTCTACGTTCACCAGGTGAATTAAATTGTATCTCAAAGGCTCAACGTTCATGAGACCACAAGATGAGGATACAGGCTAAAGAAAACTCGGGAATGGTATAACTTTAATTGATGTTAGGTTTCTGGGAGCCCAAGTTGTGGTCATTTTGATCAGACCAGTAGTAAATTTCACGACTCTTGAGGTCATCTAAAATTGCACACCTGGCTCTCATAGACACGAAGCTACCAACCCAAGATAATACTGTTGAAATCGAGAATATTGTTATTTTTTGACTGATTCGTCCAGTCTGGAGTCGCTGGCTAATCCGTTGTCGACGTGGCGAAAGGGATAATCATCGAACGACAAAACTGTCGACGGGTTCGCGAAAGTCCGCCGGTCGTTGCGGGTGCACAATGACATTTATGACGAATCGTTACACTAATGACATTCGCGGAGCACCGGCGGACAATCGTGACTAATTGTTATTGTTTCTTGTTGCGGCGGCCGCGAGCGCAGCTACCGCGCGGCTTATGTCCACCGATATGATATAACGCGTTGTTTATCGCGCAGTTGGAACCGGTGATGCCGGGGAACGCCGTCCCTGGCGCTTGCTAGCAACGATGCCCGGCGATGGTGGTGGTGGAGGGTTCCCAGCGAATTGTAAAGATTACGCCCGATGTTTATGCATTTATGCTGAATTATTGTCGGCGGGGCTTTACCGATGTTTATGCTGATTTACGCTTTGTGCTATCTGCCGGGACACATTGTCCCGGAATTATTATTCCGCTGCATCACTCTCGCGGCGAGGAACCGAAATTTCGAATTTCGTTCGCGAGTTGGAAAATTTTCGCACACCCTGCCTACCCCCCTCCCCCTCGAACACCCCCGTTCTGGTCATCCGTGGCACCATTTTCATCGCGAGACATCGGTCGAGACTCGCTAACACACACCTTGAGATTTGGAATCTTTTTCATTTTAAGATTCAGACTTCAAGACTTTCCAATTCTTTATTGAAATATACAATTGTTCTCGAAATATCAGAATCGTGAATATTCTTTTGAAGGAGGGTTTTCCTCGTTTTGGTCTTTAAATTGTCAGATAAAGATACCTATTACCCTTTGTTTACATGGGGATCTCCAAATAGAAAATTCAACACACACCTTGAGATTTGGAATCTTTTTCATTTTAAGCTCCAGATTTCAAAACTTTCTAATTCTTTATTGAAATATACAATTGCTCTCGAAATACCAGAATCGTGAATATTTTTTTAGGGGATTTCCTCGTTTTGGTCTTTAAATTGTTTGTCAGATAAAGATACCTATAACCCTTTGTTTACATGGGGATCTCCAAATAGAAAATTGAACGCGATGAAAATATGCGCGTATCGCAGGCACCTATATCGAAATTTAAAGAAATCGTCCCTATCGTTGAATTAATATTGAGTCAGTTTTCTATTGCAAACACTAAAGAACCCTGTGAAAGACTCTACCTTCCTGGTTTACTTTAGTTTTCGATGTCACCTTAGATAAAAGCATGTAAACTTGTGTAAAGTTCTTATTCTTAATTCAATACTTTCGATCGTAGAATGTTCGTATTTCTAAAAAATCTTTACAGTTTAAGAAGCAATAATTGACGCAAAATCGCTCGGGAGGTGCGCGAAATAATTCGAGTGCTCATTGTGGAAACGTTTCCGGGAGAGAACCCCCGCAAAACGCGTCGCACGGAAAGTAGAAAAAAGAAGAAAAAAAGAGTTCCCGGCCATGAAACACCTATCTCTCTCGCTTTCTTTTATCTACACGAGGCGAAGCATAAATAAGGACTGCGTTTGTGCGCCTCTTGGATACATAATGGAGTATTATGTGACGGAGATACCACGGGGCTCTGACTCTTCCCTTCCTCCCCTCTCTTTTAGCAGCCCTCCGATGTGTCGACTGTGCCTCCAGCCGGGGTGTGTGTACAAGATATTTACTACAAATACCCATGGTGGCCCGTATCGTGTCCTAGGCACCACGATAATACGTCCCTTTGTACGGATAACGGTGTCGAGAGCAAAGTTTACTGAATTCCGAAGTGTCTCGTCGCGCGATTCTTCGTGTGATAACGAACAGGCCCGGATTATCGAAGGTAGATACCGGTGAAATTGTCTAAACGTATGCAAGAACCCCTCAAATAAAATCTTAGCTACGAAACATGATCTCGTGCTCGTTATTTCATGTTCATGTACAGTTCTCACGCTTGCTTTGACATCCTCAACAGCGTATGGTTAAACAAGAGACTCAAGATTGCCTCGCAAGAAAATACCAGGTGATCCTCTTAAGAGATCAAGTGGTTGATCAGTTTTCTTGCAGAGCAACAGAGATTTTTATGAATGACAAATAGAACAATAAGAATACGCCATAGAATACGAAGCAATTGATCAAGCAAATAAAATTCGACAAGCAGCCCAACAAAAAGTTTAAAGGGGGAAATATTTTGTTACAGAGCCCTCCACATGAAGGAGCATCCGGACTACAAGTACCGTCCCCGCAGGAAGCCGAAGTCCCTGGTGAAGAAGGAGAACAAATTCGGTTTCTCGATATCGCCCCTGATGTCGTCAGGTGAAACCCTAGGCAACATATCGAGAGGTTTGCTGCCGCCATTGGCGCCCCCGTCGCACCACGCGTTGATGAGCCACGAGGACCTCAAGATTCCCCGTTTTTTCCCGCCCTTTCCCTACCCCCTTTACCCGATCCAGCACAAGCTCGGAGAGGAGTTCAACGGCGGCAAATTAGCGGCGGATTTGGCCTTTCAGGCGCTTTACGGGGGCGGCACGTTCTACTCGAGCCACCAGACGATGTCCTGGCCGAATCTGACGACGGCGGCGTGCCTACAGCCGAACTGCGGCTGCCCCAGTCCGCCCAAAGACCCGAAGAGGTCGTACCTGGCTACCAAACTGGAGGAAAGACCGTTCCCCAGCCCGGGGAAGCCGGACGACGACGGTTTCCCATCGGACAGGGACTCCAGCAGGGAGGAATCGCGGTACAGGAAGCTGGAGGACGACGGATTATTGTCCGTGGACAGACACCAGGAGGTTGACAACAGGTCGCAGGACCGTTTCTCCTCCTCCTCCTCCTCCTCGCCCATCGAGCAAACGGAGAAAGTTGCTAGCGCTGGCTCGACGACGACGACGACGACGACGTCGACGAAGGTGGAGAGCGCGTTCTCCGTTCAGAATCTGACCTCGTCCAGTTCGAACTTGGGCGCTCACCGCGGCCACGTCATATGAAGACCGCTTCCGGTTCTTCCGGACTTAAACTTCCGGGGGAACCTGATACCAGCCGGATGGCCGACCACGGACTGGTGGAGGGTGCCGCCGATGCTCTCGCCGATCCCCCAGGCCACCGTCACGAACCTGAACGCGATGGCGAAGGACGACGACGTCCAGTTCCAGGAGGATCAACAGAGGAACCCCAGATCGCGGAACGCGCAAATCGCCAACGTCCAGTGATCCTTGGCGACGAAAGAAGTCCGGGGAATGGAACCTCCATGTTCGGTTGGAAGCGTGTGAAGCACGAGGACTCGAAGATCGCGAATACAAGGGGAGCTTCTGGCTGTAGAAATCTCTTTTGAAACGGTAGTATGTACCTAGTATCAAGAAACCCTGAAGGGTATCTTCATAATGGATCTTCGTTTTTGGGTTATTTGGTTTAAAGTTTTAGATTTTAATGACGAGAGGGAGGAAAACGAAGGTCCATTTTGAGAGAAAACCCCTTTAAGTTTGATCCTAGGTATGCTACTTCTTTAAAAGCGACTTCCAGTGGCGGAAGCTCCCCTTCCTGGACCGGTCGAAGGAGGCGTAAGATTAATCCTGCGAAGCTCGGGAGCTCAGCAATTCTTGAAAAAAACCTGTTGCGTTGTGTGATAATTTTAACGCTACGTGCGGGCGTGATGTTTTCTACAGTTGCGTATAGCGAAGACGTCGCGAACGAACCTATCCAGTAAAACTGACTAATTCGTTCGAAATGAAGGTCCTCCCCCGCGTAGAAAGAGGCGAAACGGGGTGCAATCGCCGTCGTTCGCAAAGAATTCGTTATGCGAGCCGTGGGTGGATAGGAAGAGCCGAATCGATAACTCGCCACGGCCGAAATCCCACAAAGAGAGGCGAAAGGGTCCTTTCTGGTAAAGCGTGTACAGAGGCGGCACACGGGATGCCAGAAGAGTCCAATTTTGATGAGATAACCAACCCTCTCGTGGCACATATTACCGCGCCGCGCGAGCCAAAGCGGGACAGACACACGGGGACAGAAAAGAGCCCAGGTTGGCTCGCTGGAGGGGGGGGGAGGGGGAGAGAAAAAAAAACCTCTTCCGGCGGAGGCAAATCTCTTCTTTGGGACGCGGCCATGCGAAATAAGCCAAACGTTCTGAATGCTAACGTAGATGCGACAGCGGACCTGTATACGCGCTATATACTCCACCCCCCGACAACCCACGTCGCGAGATGATTTCATCGCGACGCGGTGCCCGGCGCCGCGCATCGATACTGCAACTATCCGATATTTTCTGTTTCTTTATTTTATCGTTCCACTTCTTGTTGTCGCGTTTCCCCCTTGTAATTGCTTGCGCGGACACGCGAGGATTACGAGGGTGGGACGGCACCGCGAATCGAGTGGAACACGGTTACGAATTTTTGGCGAGTTTTGCCTATATCGAGAAACGTTTGTGATACATTATCGTGTTATGTTTAGATTTTTGTGCGTTAATTGCGTTGGAGATTAAATTGTTCTTCGGTTTTTTATACGTTTAAAAATAACGGTGAGATTAATAGTCGATGCAAGCTGTTCGTATAAAATACTGTTGACTCAATATCCTTCTTTTTATCATTTTACGAAGAAGACGAAACGACAGAGAATTTTGTCTTGGAATTTATTTGGATCTTTTATGAATTGCTTGTGTCGATCTTAATTTTAATGTTTTTTTTTTTTTAAGAATGTTTCTACGAATTTGAACAGGTGCTGTTGTTATTATCAAGAGTTGATATACAGAATGAACGCGTAGAAAAACCACCCTGTTTCCCAGCAAAGTTGCAAAGATAACGGTTAGTGCTGCTTAACGAAAAGAATCAACGAAAAAAACGTCTCTGCGAACAGAATGAACCTTGAATAATCGGCCATCGGTAATAGAGCGTTCGATTCGAGCAAATTGTTTGCATTCTATCCGCAAATTGTTGAATCCGTCGCGAACGCGCCGGATGTCCACGCAGTTTCATTGCTGGCGATTTTTTTTCTCGCGATCGACGAGCCACCCGTATTTCCGAAATTTTTTTCACGGTTGTTTCGCCCCCACGCGTCGACGTGTTTCCACCCGAAATTTCAACGAACGACACCCGGGGGATTTGTCAGCAGACCGGAACCGGGAGGCTAATTCCCCGCCGGACACTTTCACTATAGCGAATGTATACTAAATCGTAACGATCGTAGGAAATCGGCGTGTCGAACGCACGACAAGTATAATATAATGCATATCTAAGGGATAGAAACATATCTTTCCAGTATTTACGTAAGTTCCTCGGCCACCGTTCTTGCCGTGAATGAAAATAAAAAATGAAGATTGTAGCGATCGTATAATACGTCGAATTTTCCATTAATCTGAACGCGGCTGCGTTGAAACCCTCCCCACCCTCCCGACCCTGAAACGACATACACGTAATTATTGTTAATTATTGCTGTAATATAACGCCACGTTTGTAAATAAATTGAAACTTAATCGAACAGCTTCTCTTTTATTTCGATACCAGAATCCTTTTGTAAGGCAACGAAAAAAATATTTTTTAAATTAATTGCAACGATTGTGACCGAGTTGCTATGCATTTAACGTCGACATCGAGTACTATAACAATGGTTTTATGGGTTTTATTTTTCTAATTGTTCGAAGAAGACAACGAAGATTCTGCTTATTTTTTGTGACTGTCTCAACTTCTACTGATGTCCTTTATAAAATGTTTAATTCTATAATTGAACCTATGGTTTTAATTCCACGTTTAATTGAGAATCTCATCTCCAATTTAAAGACTTTACCATCGAATAAATTCGCGACACGGTGGAAATGGAGGTCCTCGCGAACGAGTCCTTGACACAGAACCGTGAAAGGAGCGTTTCCCGAGGTCGATCGGGAAAAGTCAAGTATATCTCGGAGATACCAACGAATTCGTAGGTCTAATCGAGGAGGGGTACGTGGAGGAACCGTCGAGAAAATCTCGAGAACGAGAGGGAGGAACCTCCACGCCTCCCCCGTCGACCCTCGAACCACCACCCCCCCGTTGCGTCGTGTTTTATTTCTGATAGCGACGCCTCCGTCGCCGCGGCGAGGACATTATCGCCACCGCGAAGGACCCTTTCTTCCCCCATAAAGGCAATCACGCTTTCTTCGTGGCGAGATAACAGCAGAATGGAGAGCCAGAAACGTCTCCGTTGCGCACGAGCGAATCTCTGAACGATTCTATAATTCTTCTCTCGCCCTGGGAACGAACGAAAAGATTTCTCAAAACTCAACAAACATTCCTGCTCACTGCCATAAAAATGATCAATCTTTCTTCGTAATTTTTATTGGACATTCCAGAGCAAGATATTACAAGTCGAGGCAGATCAAATTTTTGAACTCGTTTTTCTATCAAATACGTAGCTAAATATTTCCACCATTGTCCATTGCTATACACTGTTCGTAAAAATGAACTGTTATTACGACGAAGTCTTGATTAATGTAATCGAGCAAAAGCTTGGTTCGTTTAGTGTGTTACGTTACGATGAGAGGGGATCGTAAAAAAGTGAACGCTGAAATAATTTATCACCCTCGTCTCCCCTACACGTGTCTTTTTCCCATAAGCGTTGCATTTAACCCCGTTTGCTCAATGAACCTCGACGATTCCTCACGTTTCCACTTACCTCCCGTGCACGTGAGCCGAGGAACGCAACGTCGACGGTCTGGCACGGTTCCCCTGTAAAAATCCATCGGGGTCGCGGTAATTCCCACCTAGAAAGGGGGAGGGGATGGGGATGGAACGTCTCCGTGGTACGAGAAGTTTTCCACAGTGCGCACAAAGGGTGAAAAGGGTGGTTGGGGCGTCGACTACTGGCTGGCCAAAGGAGTCTAGGCGCTCTCCATTAGTATGCGCGGAAGTGCTGCTCGCTCGATTGTGGGAGGCATTGTCGGGGAAGAATGTCCTCGTTGCCGAGCTCTGTACCAGCGAAGACTGCCTTTGGTAAGGAGGCACGATTCCAAGTCAAATGTAATCACTTTCGAATCGAAACACCCACCGCCGCGATTCGCGTCCGACGTTCCAAGATTTTAAACGCTCGCAGATATATGCATTTGTTCCGTCGAGTTTCGTTTCATTCGACCATCTCGATGATAAAAAAAAGTATCGTCCTTCTACTTCAATCACAGAGGATACTATATTCTTTATGTTTTTAATTAGTTAAAGAACAACGTAGACGACGGGGCATTTTTATTAAAACTCTCCTATACGATGATATTCAATGATATAGAATTCCTTCGATATGTGTATACTAAAAATTAATAAGTATTTTTGTGATTAATTTACTGAAATTTTCCAGGAGTTATATATGGATATTATTAGAATTCTTTTCTTCCGTTGGAGAGATTACTAGAAAAATACACTCGTTTCCCGTCAGTAATGTGTTAACAATTACATTAAAATGCAATTTTTCTTTTAATTAGAATACATATTATTAAATTCAACATAAATTGCAAACAAATAAATTTTGTGGGTTCTATTAACGTTATAACATCAGAGACGTTTAATTTCTTGCAGATTCTGGATGCAAAAAAACATTCGAAGGAACTTGTACACGTGATCGTCGTTATTTAAGAGACTTCAGATAACTTTTAAACTTTCGCGTGGAACGGAATCGAGTGCAAAGAAACGCCGCGCGGTGGAAAATAAGACGACACGCGCCGCGCGGACCGGTAGACATGTTAATTGCGTCGGTGCGCAATTATATAAGCGCTTTTGTTGTCGCGAGAGGAGCGTTGCGCATCGCACGAATCGTTTGATTGCGGAAAATGACGGGCGACGATGGCGCGAGTGGAAGTTTTGAGTGGGCGTCGGTCCTGGCAGACAATGAGGCATTCAGGGGTGGCATTGTCGGGCCGACAACTGCGTTACCGTAGACAAACCCGAAATCACCGGCGCTATCGCCGTCCCAGATCCGATTATGCGAATAATAAAATGCACTGAAACTGGGGGGGTTGCAGCGGAGGCGGAAAGAG